CGCGGGGGGGGTTTTTGGGGCCCCCCCCTTTTGGGGGGGGGGGTTTTTTTTTTTCCCCGGGGGGGGGGGGGCCCCCCCCCCCCCCCCCCCCCCCCCCCAGCCCCCTCACCCAGCTCGTAGCTGCCGGAGGGCAGGCGGCGCACGTGCAGCGCGTCGTCAATGTCCTTGCAGCCGGGCGGGTCCACGCTGCACACCGCCAGGTGGCGCAGGTCCGCCCTGCGGGGGCGAGGAGGGGCCACGGGGAGTGGCGTGCCACGCCGCGGCTCGGCACATAGGGACAGCAGGACCGCGCTCGGCTGAAAAGCCATGGCATGGACCCGCCGGCTGAGGGCAGACGGGTGTAACCCCTGCAAAATTCCCCCAAAAGCAGAAAAGTGGCAGCCAGGCGGCTGCAAGATGCCCTATCCCTAGCCTCACCTGCTGGGGTCTGACAGATCCGCCTCCGAGACGGCCCAGGGCAGCGGCGGCACGCAGGCGTGCACGGCGGCGGTGAAGGGGCTGGTGTTGATGTCGTTCTCAATCAGCAGCACCTGTGGGGGGGCGCAGCAGGGTGCAGAACGAGTGCGGCGTGTGAGATGGGCGTGGGCCGGGACAAGCAGGGCACAACAGCAGGCGGGCACCAGCCAATTCAACAAGCAGACCGCTTTGCTGGACAATGCACAGACAGTAAAACAAAACCCAAATGTGCAGGGACAACACACACACAGTAGAATCATGCATTTCATCAATGAATGCAGGCCGCCCACCTCCGTCTCGGTCTCCTTGTCGCCAATGGCGCCCAGGGTGCGCACATAGTGGCCCGAGGGGTACAGGCTGTCGGCCTCCCAGCAGTCGATCGCCACAACCAGCCGCTTGTCGGCCAGCGTGGCCGCCTGCGCAACCAGCACGTGCAGCCCAGGACGCCGCGTGTCAGAGGGCGGAGTCGGCGGCGGCAGCGGCAGGGGTGGGGCGCAGCTGTGAGGGGCATGCATTAGAACAAAGGGAGCTTGAGTGCAAGAAACCGGGCAGGGCGGAGGAGACTGGGGAGCAGCACCTGGCGTGTCTGGATGCGGATGTAGGGGAAGCGGCGCTCCACGGGGCAGAACAGCAGGGAGTGTGTGTGGTTGGCGCTGCCGCTGGGGCCCGACTTGGGCGGCTGCACGGGAGAGGTGGCACACAGAGCGGCACGCGGCGCTGGCGGGTTGCACTGTGGCCGGTCTGGCCGGCCCGCAGGCAACCTGAAGACTCCCCTATGGCATGCAGCCGAGAGGCAGCAGCGGTACGGTACCTGCAGTGATCCGCAGTACCCTCTCGTCCTCCAGTTGCGCCTGATGATGCCCACCACCTTGCCTGCGCCCAGGCAGGCGGCACAGCACGCGCAGCATGATGCCATGGGCCCGAACACAAAGCCAGCCAACCCGCCAGCAACGTTTACAAGCTGGGCCGCCAGGCTCAGCCATGGCTGGGCGCCCGCACCCGTGGGCCGCTTGGTGCTGCCGCCGCCTGCAGCCGAGGCATCCTCCCCATAGTGCTCTCCTGGGTCCACCTGCTGGTGGGGAGGGCAGGATGCAGTGGGCATGCGGCTGGGCAGTACCAGTACAAGTGACAGTACCAGTACCAATACCAGTACCAGAAGCAACATGGACAGCAGACAGCAGGCAGCCGCCACAGGCCGCCATCGGGCTGCGACCATGGCGCTTGCCTGCGCTATGTGGGCCCCCTCGGGGGCCTCCTCTGCCACCTCCTCCGCCTCTGCCGCCGTGCTGGCGTCCCCAGCGGCCGCTGCCCCCGAGGGAAGCTTGTTGGAGGGGCCTCGCCACTGCTCCTCGGGAAGCAGCTCCACTGCGGCAGCGGCAGCAGCGGCAGCGGCAGCAGCGGCAGCGGCCCGTAAGAATCGTTTGGCCGCTGGGAAGGGTTAGTTGGCGGGCGGCCGCAGCAACTTGCCGGGCAAAGCACAGGCAGCGGCGGCATGAGACGGCAGACACACTCGGCAGTGCGGGCAGGCGCAGCAGGCTGCGCAGCAGGCTGCGCACCCGCCACCACATCCCCCTCCATGGCTCGGTTCATGTCGATGCGGCCCGAGATGAGGATGTCCTGCCCCACAGACTCGGAGCCCACCCACCCCTCAAATGAGTTGAAGCGGTTGACCCTGCACACACACACACACACACGCGCGCGCGCGCGCGCGCAGAGGCAGAGTCGGCCAACATGCGCTCTGCACACCATGCCTGCCTGCCTGCCAGCCTGCCAGCCTGCCTGCCGCACAGCCCACCAGCAGCGTGCCGCCAGCCAGGCAGGGCCCGCAGTGCAGCCTCCGCCCAGGCGGCCAGCTGGCAAGCTCCTGGCCACCCGCCGCCCCACCTGAGCATGCCCTGGTGGTACCGCCCAGCCTTCATGCCAGCCGCGATGTCGCTCATGAGGCGATGCTCCTCGTACACCCGCTGCCGCTTGGCGGCCCGCGCAGCCCCCTTGCCCGCAACCCCAGCCCCCGCCCCATGCCCCGCGCCGTCCTCCTCGCCATCCCGTGCCGCCGCCGCCGCCGCCACCAGGTCTTGCAGCTCGGGCTGCTCCGCGGCGCGCTGCCGCGCGTAGGCCGCGCTGCCCAGCGCCTCCACCCCCGCGTCCGCCGCCTTGCGCCTGTTGTCGGCGTCGTCGGTCAGCAGGATGACCTGCACACACAGCAGGTGGCATGTGGGCTGAGAGCAGCACCGCTCCAGGAGCGAGCAGCAGGCCGGCCCTCCTCCCTGCCCCCCGGCCAACCTCACGCCATCTGTCCCGCCATCGGTCCCCCGCACCGTGTGCGCAGGCAGGCGCCGGGTGTACCAGGCCGCCGCCACCCGCAGCGCGCGGTCGTTGCGGTCGTTGGGGCTCTCCCCCGGCTCCTGCTGTATGTAAGTCTCCCTGCAGGCACAGGGCAGGCCCGCATGCACAGCCTTCCTGAGCCAGCGCAGCTGGGCGGTCACCCAGCAAGTGCCACACAAGAGCAGAGCCGCTTGATGCAGGCCTGCAGCCTGCAGCCTTCCCGCCGCCGCCCCAGGGTCCGCATTCCCGGCCCCTGAATGCCACACGCACCAGCGCCGCACCGGCACCACCAAAACACCCCCCCCCCGCCACCCGCCTGTGGTGCTCGTTGGCAAACACGAAGAAGCGCTTGTCGGGGGCGGCGATGAGCTGGCGCAGGCGCTGGTACACGGCAGCGTTGCGCGCCTTGACCTCTTCCAGCACCACGCTGCTCACAACCACGTCGCTGACGGCGGGGTGCTCCAGAAGGTCCATCTGCAGGCGGTGGTTGTGTGTGCATGTGGATGTGTGTGTTGGGCAGGCGAGGACCAAACGAGGTAGGGCGCCGGCAGCAGAACAAGGTAGGGTGGTTGGCCGGTGCAGTCAGGAGAAGCTGCCGCCTGGCTGCAACGCCGTATGCCATCCTGCCATTCATCCCATGCAGGCTGGGGGCTGTGCAGGGAGCTTGGCTGGCGCACCTGGTGCAGCACCACATTTGTGTCCACCAGCAGATAGTGAGGCGCGTCCCCGCTCAGCTTGTAGGCCTCCGGAGGGCACTCCGGATCCAGCGGGGTGCCGCTGTAGATGTCGTCGCGCAGGTAGTGCTCCCTCACAACCTGTTGCCAGGGCTCGCATCGGGGCTGGTCAGCTGGCGGCTGGTGGGTGGCTGGCGGCGGCAGCATGCAGCATGCATCGGTGTGCGGCCAGGCTTGCGACGTCTGCTGTCGCATATTCGATGTAGTTGCGTCAGTTCTGGCAGCGAGCAACGCGCGGCGGCAGTGAGCGAGTTGCTTGGTGTGCCCCACCTTGAGCACTTTGCCCTTCTTTGTCTTCTTGACGAAGCTCCTGCTCTGCAGCATCGTGGGCAATTGTGCTGACACCCGAAAATGGCGGCGAGACGGGTGGCGTCGGCTGGCTGACACACTAGAGGCGCCCTGGCCGCTGGGGCATTTTTCCAGACGATATTTGCGATTCAGGGAGCCTAATCAAAGAGGTCTGGGAGCCCTAGTTCGACTGCCTACCTGGAGCCCGCTGGCAATCTGCTGGCAACGGAAATAGTGCATGGCTCCCCGCATTGTCTACGGCAGCATACTGCAAGTTGAGAACAGAGGGGGCAGGTGTTGCCGACACTACCTGCTGCCCATGTCGTCGCAGGATGCAGCAGAGAGGATAGCCAGGCTAGCAGCTCACCTGAATGCATCCAATAGCGGCAAAAGCAGCAGCAGCGGCAGCAGTGGGGGACTCGACGTACACCCCACGGTGGCGGTGCCGGCGGCGAGGAGCGGTCCAGCCGGCGCATCCTTCCACCAAAAGTTCTTCAACTTTGAGCCGGGCCGCCTGCTGCTGGACCAAGTGACCATCATCACCGGCGCCGGCAGCGGCATCGGCAAGGCGGTGAGCCTGCATGCCACGGGTACACGCCCCCTCGCCTCTGGGTACACCTCTCCCTCTGCCCCGTGCCAAACGGGGTGCCGCCCCTGCACCCCACCCCACCTCCTGCTGCAGGCGGCCATCCTGTTTGCGCAGCAGGGAGCCAAGGTGGTGGCCAGCGACCTGGATGGATCCAAGGCGCAGGCCACGGCAGACTTCATCCGCAACTCCTGCGGTACCGCCATCGCCGTACCGGGCGATGTGTGCGACCCTGCCTTCCCAGGCAAGGTGGTGGCGGCGGCGGTAGAAGCCTTTGGAGGCCTGCACATCCTCGTCAACAATGCCGGGTTCACCTGGTGAGTGATCTGGCGCCGCCCGCTGCCACGCTCGCCCGCCCATGGCTGCTCTGTGCAGGGGTGGACAACCGCGCGCCATGCGTGTGGGCGTCAGGCACGCACAACATTGTGGCTTGCGGCACGCCTGGCTGGCTGGCGCAGGGATGGCATGCTGCACAAGATGAGCGGCAAGCAGTGGGACACCATGCTGGCAGTCCACTGCACCGCCCCCTTCCGCCTCATCCAGGCAAGCTCCAGCCGCCCCGCAGCGGAGGTGACCTCGGCTGCTGCCCGGGCTGCCTGCACACCCGCCGGGCCGTGATCCATCCAGCAGCACAGGCTCCCACCGGCACCAGCGTCGCATGAAGCGCCGCACAGCCGTCCCGGGGCTTGGCAGGCTGGCCTGGCTGCTGCAGGTCCCCACCGTGCCCGCCCTGCCGCTGCCGCAGGCGGCCGCGCCCCACATGCGGGAGGCGGCGAAGCGGGAGATGGCGGCACAGGGGCGGCCCCGCCCGCGCTGCATACTCAACGTCTCATCCGTGTCAGGTGCGGCCTGCTTGCAGGGCAGTCGTCCCGGCGTGGCAGCGGCAAAGGTCTGCTTGTTGTTGCTGGTGCACACAGGGGCTGCTGCTCCTGCCTTTGACGGGACGGGGTGGTGCAGGGTGCGCCAGCCGACGGGGGCAACCGCTCCAGCTTGCCCCCGCACGCTGGCCTGGCCTGCCGCGACCGCCCGCGTGCCTGCCGCCGCATGCAGGCGTGCACGGCAGCGCGGGTCAGGCCAACTACTCGACTGCCAAGGCGGGGGTGGTGGGCCTGACCAAGGCTGTCGCCAAAGAGTGGGGACCCTTTGGCATCCGCTGCAACGCGCTGACATACGGATACATCAACACACGGTCAGCCTGCCCGCGGGTGGCGTGAAGGGGCGGGCGGGGATGGGCAGGGCAGGCCGTGCCTGGGCACGGCAAGAGGCAGGCGTTCCGGAGGCGGTCGCCTCCCTTTCTAGCCCAGCTGCAGGCACACCCAGCCGGTGGGTGCGACTGCGCGCCTCACCCGCCACCCTGCCTGGTGTTGCGCCGCAGGCTGGTTCAGCCCAAGGACAGGGGGGCCAGCATCCAGGTGGATGGGGAGCAGGTCAAGCTGGGCATCTCGCAGGTGGGAGCTGTGGGGTGGGGCGGTGGGGAGAGGAGGACGCATCGCACGGCGCCATTGGGGGAGCCACTGGCGGTGGGCCACTGCGCAGCCGGAGGCTCTCCTGGGCTCCCAGCTGCCCCTGCCATCCTTGCATGCTCGCGGTGCAGCTGGTTGCTGGCCCTGCACCCCAAGTGGAGGCACCTGACCTGCAACCCAAGGCTTGCACCTGACCTACACCACCACCTCGGCCCTGAGCGCAGGCCAATGCAATGGCCGACGCGATGAAGCAGATGATTGCGCTGGGGCGGGTGGGCATGCCTGAGGAGGCGGCGGGGGCCATGCTGCTGCTGGCCTGTCCCTACTCCTCCTACATCACGGGCCAGGCGGTGGAGGTGACGGGGGGAGGGTGGATGTGAGGCTCCCCTCCCACCTCCTCCTGCCTTTGCAACTGTGCCTCCCTACTGCCTCTACGACTGTGGTCCTGGTTGCGCTGACACTCTAGCCCTAGCTTCTGATCTCGACTCAGTGCCGTAGTGGCCACAATCGATGCACAAACAATGCAACATACAGCAGCGCAGAGATGCGGGGGGAGTCGCCACAGGACACAATCGAACAGAGGATGGGGCAGCACCAGTTACGCCTCCCGCCTCCCAGCGGCCCGCCTCCTCGGGGGTTGCCATTAGGGTTCTGCCAGTAGGGTTTTGCAGCACCTGTCAATGGAGTCGAGCCGTTACATGCAGCAGCACATCAATTGACGTATGTCATTAAACAGCTGGCAGTCTCAAGTCTGGAGTGGCACAGAGTGCGCATGACACCAGCCAGAACTCCGCAGCGGCTCATATCATCATAACAGAGAGGGCAGTGTGGGGTGCAAAAGGCAGAATGAAACAGAAACAGATGTATCAGGACCAAAACAAAATCAGCATCAGATCAATCAAACCATCAGTGATCCCGCCTCCTACACAACGCCCGCCTCCAGCTCCCACTGTGGCGTGGTGCGCGCCCAGACGGCGATGCCGCCGCCACGCCCCCGCGCGCAGATGAGGCCGCTGTCGACGTAGAAGAACACGAAGAAGGGGTCCTTCTTGCCGCGAGTGAACTTGCTGCACGGAAACCAGGAAAGGAAGCTGGTAAATGATCGCAGCAGATGGCACCCTCCTGCTTCCCCCACCCATCTGCACACCACGTTCCAACCCCCTTACCTTGCATCCAGCTTGGCTTTGAGCGGGAAGGAAGGGGTCCAGCCGCCCAGGCGCAAGTTCAGGGTGTCGAAATCAAAGGCCAGGACCTGCGGCAGCAACCGCAGCAGTAGCGGTAGGCGCCAGGCAGCCAATTGAAGCTTGCGGTAGGTGCCACCAGCCTGCCAGCAGCAGCAGCAGCAGCAGCAGAAGCAGGCACACCTTTCCGTCCATCTTGTATGGCCCCTTGAACGTCAGTGCCGCAAAGCGCCCCAAGTAAATGCCATTCTCAATTTCCTGTTTTGTCGCGTCCCACCGCTGGCATGCTGCAACGGGCAAGGGGTGGGATTGGTTGAGTTCCAACAATGTCGCTTACGGCGACATGCCGCCTGCTGGGTTAGGCCAGCTCTCGCCCCGCGATAGGCCTACCTGTGAGCGGGAAGTACTGCCCGCCGCCCTTGCCCACTCCCTTGAGCGCATCCTGAACTTGCTTGGTGCCGCTGGTGAACACCAGCCTCCAGCGGTTGCCGGGTGGGGCGCTGCCGCCGATGGTGCTGGCCCAGTCCTCGCTCGGCTGCAGTTGAAAGCAGGGGCACACGGTGGGACAGATCGGATGAGGGATGGGCAGCAGTCAGGAGGGAAGCTCTGCATACAGCGATGCCGATCTGCTCAGCCCAGAAGCTGCAGCCGCAGCAGCAGCCCAACCTGCAGCTTGGCTTGCTCCAACGTCCTCAGCGCGTCGAAGACTTGGACGGGATGCACGCTGGCGTCCGCTGCCGCTTTCTTCAGCGTCTCCACGGCGCCACCAATCTCCGGCTTCACTTGTGCGGAGGGCGCAGCAGAAGCCTGCACCCGAATCGCCGGTAGCCTGCACCAAGAGTGACCAATGATTGGCGGCGTAAGCCTGTAGGAGGGTCGGCGAGGGGTGGCGGCGGCGGGGCGGCGGCGGCGGGGCGTCGACTGCATCGCCACCAGGACCGCGGCGCCCGCTGATCAGTTGATGCAGGGCGCCAGCACGCACCTGCGGGTGGGCAGCCAGGCGCGGGAGGTGGCGCAAGGAGCAGCGCGGTGGCGCGCTGCGCCGGGGGCGGCGAGTACAGAGGCCATGGCGGTGAGATGCGACACGGAGGGATAGGATGCCCCGGCTGCGAGGCTGTTTTGGTGCGCTGCGCGAGTTTTGTGACACGTGGGCTGGCTACAAATGGTCACCGCTACAAATCACAGCTGGCGGGCGGCTGAGACCTCCCATGCCCTTATTGCGGTGGCCCCTCATTGCTCCAACTCTCGCAGCGCTTCCCCGCCACCAGCTGTTGCCAGTCTTCGGTCAGCCCACTTGAGATGAACTATGTGCCGAGGGCGTCAATTCTGCATCGCCCCGCCAAGGCCGAGGCGGGCAAGGCCAACGTAGAGCACGCCGATGTGGAATGGGCCAAGGAGCAAGGTCGGCTGAGGGCCAAGGCGGAGCGCGCCGCCGCCACCGAGCAGCGGCTGGTGGGCGCCTTCTATGCCACGCCCGAGGAGCGGCGGCAGGCCTGGTAAGCACACACTGGTGGAGAAGTGTTTAGACCGAGGGGCAGGCTTAGCACCTGGGGCGTGCCGCCACTCGTCCATGCCGCCACCCCGCCACCGTCCTCAGCTGAACCGTCTGTCAACACTCTCCCACCGGCGGTTAGCTGGCATGTCAGGTGCATTGCTTTGCCCATGCGACGCTCCTTGCCGCTGCTGTGGCCGCAGGGCCCCCGCCCAGCTGGAGGCGGAGCAGCTGGCCGCGGCGCGGGCTGCGGCGGCGGAGCAGGAGCGCGCGCGCGAGGCGGCGTGGCTGGCGCAGCCGCGGCAGGTGGTTTTGGACACGCAACGCCCTTGGAACGCGGCCTCCTCCACCTATTACATGTCCCCAGAGGTGGAGGAGGCGGCGCGGCGGCGCGGACAGCGGGAGGCATCCGACGCCAACCGTCTCATCTCGCAGCGGCGGGCCGCCCACGACGCGCAGCAGCACGCCGCGGAGCAGGATGCTCTGCGCCGCGACTACCAGGCAGAGGTGCGCTGCGCAGCACGGTTGTGTGTGCCTGGTTGATTGGGCGGGAGGGGAGCGGGGCCAGGGAGGCTGCGCGCATGTGCTTGCGGGCCCGGCCCCGCCTCGCTCGCTTGCCGGGGCCGGCCCGCCGCCACAACCCGGCCCCACCTACTCACCCACACCTGCCACCTTCAATACCGCCACCACAGGAGACTTGGTTCAACAGGGGCGCAGCCAACGACCGCTGGATCGCGCCGGAGCACCGCGTCAAGCACCGCTCCGCCGCACAGGTGCGCGGCAGCAGGCCCGGCTTTCGCCCTTTGCTGCCTGCTGCTGGTGCTGAGCCTGCTGCCATCTGGCCCTGCCCCTACCCTTGCCCCCTGCCCCGCGCAGTCCGCCCCCGCCCCACCACCATACTTTTGCGATGCCGAGGGCGGCAGCAGCGCTGGGCGGCCATCGTCGTTTGCGGCAGCAGGTGCCGCGCGGCCCGCCACAGCCAGCCGTCGCGCCCAGGAGGGGCAGGGCGTGGCGGCTGCGCTGCGCCACGATGCAGCGCCTGCGTCCAGCGGCGGCAGCTTCAGCGGGGGCTACGGGACGCCTGGATCGGTGGGAGGAGGGGCGGCGGCGCAGGCCCGCCCGCGGACGGCGCCTGCGCAGCAGCAGCGGCAGTACCCCTGGAGCTGGGGCGCTTGACGGGCTGCACAGGCCTAGCTAGCAAGCTTGCCCTACGCCCCTGGCGGCGGTAGGCGCGCCAGCGCAAGGCCCATCCCACCATGCTTTGCAGTTGTTTAGTTTGGCTATTTGCTTGTGCCCTGCTCGAGCCGCAGACAGGCATTTACAGTGGGAGCGCCCGGCAGCGCTTCCGGCGGTTTGGCAGTGAGTTGAGGAGGCGGGGAATATGTTTGCGGCAGGTATTGGCCGCCACAGTGCTTTTGTAAGGCAGGATATCAACAGCAGGCAGTCTTCTTGTCTGGAGCAGAAACAAACACGCAACCATCAGGGGAGGGCAGGGAGGGGGGCAACAGACCAACTGGCGCTCGGGGTGCAAGAAACAGGGGCAACTAGGATGGGTGGGTGGGTGCCGAGGAAGGCAGCGCGGCAGACGTGCCGCCGCTCGTCTCGTACACGGAGTCTCGACGCGGGGCTGCCCGCATGCCCGCCGCTCTCCCCGATCAGTGCATGGTCATGCCGCCGTCAATGGCGAAGCACTGGCCCGTGATGTAGGCGGCAGCTGCAGGCCAGGAGGGCAGCGAGCAGCAGCAGGGCAAGGGTGGGCGCGAGTGCGGCTGGCCTGGCTCGAGGCGGCGGCGCAGGCTGGGAGCCGGCCGGTGCGGTCCAGGCCACCCAGCAGGCCTGCGGGCAGGCCCTAGGTTCTCGGCAGGCAGGGGGCCAGGCAGGGGAGAGGCCTCACCTGGGTCCAGAGCCAGGAAGCGAACCAGGCCGGCCACCTCCTCGGGCTGGCCATAGCGGGCTGCGAGGCGGAGGCGGGACAGGGTGAAGGCAGATGGGGTCGAGGGGCCGGCTGGGGAACGCAAGGGAGAGTAGGGTTCGCGCTGCCAGCTGCCAGCGAGCAAGCCCAGGAGGCGACAAGCCACGCGGCCCTCCCTCCGCAGCGCCCCGTGCGGTGCAGCATGGCGCAGCACGGCGCCGCCCCGCGCCGCCAGGCACCCCCTGCCACCCACCCAGCGGGATGCCCCCCAGGATTGCCTCCTCGTACTTCTTGTCAATGGCGGCAGTCATGTCTGCAGGCGGCGGGGAGCCCCAGGCCGGCGGGTGCTGGGCACGGTGGGCTGGCAGGCCAGGGAACGGAGAGGCCAGGGAAGTGCAGGCCGGGTGGGGTGCGGGCTGCCACCGCGGCATCGGCGCGCAGGCTGCCTGCGGCTCTGCCCGCGCACCCGAGGCGATGAAGCCGGGCGCGACGGAGTTGCAGGTGATGCTGCGGCCAGCCCACTCGCGTGCCACGGTCTTGGTCAGGGCGATGACGCCTGGAAGGCGGGGACAGCAGGCGGCAGGCAGGCGGCCGGGGTGGGTGGGTGGGGTGCAAGGCGTGTGCGCGGGCGGCAGG